ATAAAAATAAGTCTAATTAAAAAATATTTAGAATAGTTAATGTTATATTTTAGTATTGTTTAAAGTAATTAGTACAATACTAAAATATTTAAAAAAGTAATTTATGTATTTAGAATTTTTTGACTAATATAATCTTTATAAAATTAATTCATAAATAATTAATTATTATAAACAGTTTTATAATATTACTGATTAAATAAGTTAAGAAAATTATGATTTTAAACTAATCTTTTCAAATTAATATTTTTTTAAAATATAAAATATATTAAATGAGAAAATAAAAGTATTTTTTATATGATAAGAAAGAAAACATTTAAATTTTATTTCAAAAATAATATTTTAATAAAATAAAATAATATTATTAGAATAAACTTATTAATATAGGTAAAATGCATTATTAATTGGAAATTTAGAAATAGATCTAGAAATAAATATTTTATATTTCTTTTATATTTATAAAAATTATAAATATTTTCTAAATCATATTTAAAATAATATTTTAAGTATTATACTAGATATTAATAGAAATAAATATATAAAGAAATTATTAGATATATTAAAATTCTACTAAAAATAATATAATAAAACCTCTAATATTTTAATATTTTATATTTTGAATATATAACTATCATATGTTTGATTATTGAATTAGAAAAATTGATAAATAAAAGGTATTAAGTTAATTAAATATAAATTATTTTATTACAATTTATTTAATTATTATAAATAATAATTATTCATAACATTATAATAAATCATTTATTCTCTTCCATGATTGTGCATATTTTGCGTAGAAATTTCTATAGCTTCTTGATCATAAATATCATCTTCACTTTCAGGTTTTGGTATTGATTTTGTAAGTTCCTTCTTATTTTTATTCCATCTATATAAAAATAAACTTCCTAATGATATTAAAATACCACCGACCAATGATCCTATAACAATAGCAATTATAGTTGATATTGGTAAGATGACTGACAAAGATTTCGAATCAGTTGGTGGATCAAATATATTCGTCCACACATATTCTTGATCATTACTTATATCAAGTAACAAGATATCATTGTCAATCGTTGGATCATATCCAGCTCCTAAATATGAAATGTATTTAATTAATTTCATTGTTTATTTATGAGCATAATTGCAGTCAGTATATTTACCAAATGATATAAACATATATTTTCCAATAACATTTGCTTTATGCCAATGTCTGGAACTTGGAATTGTCCCAGAAATGTTTGGAATATACCATTCAAAATTTAATAGGTCTAATACATAAAGTGATTCATGAGATCCAACGTAACCTCCAAAAATTATTATTTGCTGCCCATATAATCCTGGTAAAAAGTATAGTAACAGTGATTAATTGATATTCGAACATTTAAATAACGTTTTAATAGAAATACTTACCTAGAACAGCAGAAAATGAACTTCTATTGGAAGGAACTTTACCCAGTGTTATCTAATTAATTAATGAAAATTAGATAAACAAAAACGTGTACGTGTAATTGGTAAATAAATTATTATGAAACAATTTAACAACCCTACTTTAGTATTCCATCTATCATTGATTATATCATATAAGTAGACCTAAAATATATTAAATGAAATGTTAACATTCTTAGAATTTATAAAATATTATGAAATTTCAATTTACCTCTTTTAACGATACCAAAGTTTTATCATTACTAAGACCACCTAAATAATAAATATTTATAAATGAATATAATCAGAATTTATTGCAGCACCGGTTGTGTTGCTTACCTAAATAAACAATGTAGTGATTTGTTAATAAAGCTGCTCCATAAAGGCTTCTCGGAGAGGGCGCATTAACGGCACTCCCTATTTTCCAATTTAAATTTACTGTATCTAAAATGAGCATATCATTAAAATAATTTCCATCAGCACTGGAATGTCCACCGAATAAATACATTAGCCCCTTATCATCAACGATGGCCTTTAAATTATCTTTTCTAATGGTAACATCTCCAGTTACTTTTGGAATGCTCCATGAATTTTTTTGAGTATCAAATGCATAAACTAAAGACATTGTTTCATCATTAATAGGCATTCCTCCATATAAAAACAAGGTTTTATTATTTGCACCACCCTTAACAGATGTAGCGGCAGAATGCATAGGAACTGTATTTTTTAAATAATGCCAAAATATATTTTGAGTATTAAATGGAATAGACACATCAAGATAAAAAAAATTTTTTCCGTCCAAGATATATAATTTATCATTAATAAGTGTAACTGTTTGACAATTTATTAAGTAATAATTGGATTAATAGCCATATTATAACATAAATTGAATAGTACTTTGACATCATTTCACAAAAGATTTCGGTAAAGAATTAATTTTCAAATAAATGCATTTCTTTTTAAACGGACCAGGTTGTCATACAAACTATTTATGTATGCAATTATATTAATTCGCCGCTTTGTATAACATTGTGAAATGTAATTTTGAGTTACACTGCGCTTGAAAAAATAAATTCTCTTTCGAGAAGGTTACACAGGATTTCTTTACATGATCAAAAAATTCGACAAAAGTTTTCTGTAAACTTAAATGCTTAATAAATTTAGTATGAGATGATGGATTAATTTTTATAATTTATGATTAAATCCTTTCTTATAGTACCTAAAACTGTTTTGGTAATGATAATGAAATTGCGCAATGAGGATATTGGTTAACCAGTAAATGTTCATTTTTCAAATGGGAAGAAAAAAAAAAAAATTCAGAAATTTTCCAATATAATAAATAAAACCTGTATATGCTCGAAGCGCCATAATATTTACGTATTAAATCGAATAGAAACCTCTCTATTTACCATTTCCTCTCAAGATAGATATATCAATAAGTTAATTCAATAACCAGAAAAAAAAAGCGTAATATACGTTTATAAATTATCTTTATACATGTTAAACTTGCATTAGTTTTATTACGAAGAAGCAAAGGTTGTGATAATACATTTCAGTTAATCAAATTACGAATCTCAAAATTTAATTTTCAAATTATTGTTTAATATATCTTTATATTTTATTTTAATTTTTAGCTGATTTGTTAATTTATATATATATTTACATAAATTAATAATAAAAAGCCTTTTTTTAATTATTTTCTAAAAGTTTTTTTATGCATAAAATCTTAGATTTTATTCACGTTGCTTTTAAAGAAAGATAACACCAAAAGTAAGGAAAAGCACTCTTTTTAAATACAAACAGTTTATAATTTATACATACA